ACGTGACTGGTGCACACCTAAGATGCAGCTAATGCATCCAAGGAGCTGAAATTTTAAGTTCGTTTGCCTTAAATTCACATTTAAGTAGCTCCACATGGCTGGTGGCTACTTTTCCAGGTACCACAGGTCAGTCATGGCCACTAACTATCTTTAATAATGCTTACCTACCTTCTGAGTGCTTCACATGTTAATGTAGTTAATCCTCTCTGGGGTAGAGCTTCTGCTTGCTGTTGCTACATAACAAATTAACTCAAAGCTTAGTGTCTTAAAACATTGATTGGTGTAAGGATCTACAGTCTGGGCAGTGTTTATGTGGACAGCTCATCTTTGCTACGTGCAACATCTCAGCATCCCTTGGCTATAGGATCCATGTCCAAGCCAACTTGTTTACTGGGAGCAAGTTGATACCTGCTACCGGTTGGTCTCTCTCTCTCTCTCTCTCTCTCTCTCTCTCTCTCTCTCTCTCTCTCTCTCTTTCTTTCATCAATAGAAAGTTTTTATTAATTGGCCATCAACTACACTGCATATTTAGGATCCCAGTGAACCTATCTCACAGTGAGCTCTTAAACACAAAAAACCACATCCTGGGTTGACATAACTAAGTTAGCAGAAGCAGTTAGCCAGAAGCAGAACTACAGAACCAAAAAGCAAGGTTAGTACATTATGGACTTTCCCAGAACTATGGACTTTGATGGATTAGGTCTTTGTTCTTGTTTCAGTAGGTGTTGCCTACCTGCTGGGCTCCTCACTGGCTTGAATGGTACTTCCATCATGGCATCAGTTGTGATAAGGTCTGGGAGCCAGATACAGGCATGTGGTGCACATTCAAACATGCCTGCTGCTAATCTTTCTATGTGGAGAGGTTGGGCTTCTGTACAGCCAGTGGCTGAGTACCAAGAGCAAATGCCTAAAGATACAGGAAGTAGGAGGTCAGTTCCTTAAGGCCTGGGGTCTAACGCTGACAGTGCATCAACTCCCAACAAATTCTGTATCAAAAGTGAGAATTTTAAGGAGAGGAAACGGCAGTTGCACCTGTCTGTGAGAGCAGCTTCTGAAAACGGGCTGTGTTTTAAAATCATCGAGGCTGCAATCAGTACTTTGCTTGTTTTGAGACAGGCTCTCTCTGGTTTGGGGCTTGAGTCCTTCTGTCCCAGTCTTCTCAGTGCTGGGATTACAGGTGTGTGCCATGCCCCGCCCCAGCCCAGCTGCGGTCACTCCGATTGCATTTTACAGATGAGGAAAGCAAGCATTGAACATTGACATTTTGCTCACTAAAGATGAGATGTCTCCTAAGTGGCTGATCTGTTCCATCTTCCAGACAGCCTGAGCTTTGTTTCTTTGTTTGTTTGTTTGTTTTGCTTTGTTTTTGTTTTTGTTTTTAAGACAGGGTTTCTCTGTGTAGCTTTGCGCCTTTCCTGGAACTTACTCTGTAGCCCAGGCTGGCCTCGAACTCACAGAGATCCACCTGCCTCTGCCTCCCAAGTGCTGGGATTAAAGGCGTGCGCCACCACCGCCTGGCAGCCTGAGCTTTTAACTTCAGTGCTTTTTGTATCTCTAGAATTGCATGGCTCACAAATTTAGATTTCTATCATCTGCAGCTCTTTCGTTGTACGATAGTTGAGATTAAGGAAATGGTTCTTGTTTGCAAATCACACATCTCTGTCCGTGCAGCGAGGTTACCGGATGTCAAGCGGACAGTGAGGACATTCTCAGCCACCTGATTGAGGATTCAGAGACGCTGTTGGACTCCAGTTCTGAGATGCTGCTCTCTTCCCTGCTTCCCAGCTGCTAACTGATCTTCACCTTCTGACTGAAACAGGCAGTGACTGAGGAAAGCTGTTTTGCCCTCAGATGCCCCTGGGACATGAAGTGAATGTGTGGTAGGAGGAGGAAGGAAGAACGGGAAGGAGGGAGGAGCGAGCAAAGCAGGCAGCCAACCAACCAGGCTTACGCAGAACTATAAAGAAGTTAAATAAATGTTCCTGGTCTTGCACATATCAATGCATATGTAGATATATACATTTTATTTATTTATTTATTTATTTATTTTGGTTTTTCGAGACAGGTTTTCTCTGTGTAGTTTTGGGTGCCTGTCCTGAATCTCACTCTGTAGCCCAGGCTGGCCTGGAACTCACAGAGATCCACCTGGCTCTGCCTCCCGAGTGCTGGGATTAAAGGCGTGCACCATCGCCGCCTGGCACATACATACTTTTTATATATAGATCTGCATTGCTTAGTGATAGGAATGCATTGTAAGAAATACTTCATCGGACAGTGGTACACTTACCTAAACTGATGTGGTGCAGCCCTACTGTCCCTTACATGATATACTCTATATGTATAGACCCGGGCTATAAACCTATACAGCAATATTACCCTACCGACTCCTTTAGACAGTGGTATTCGTGTGTCTAACTACAAAAAGAACAGTTAAAAAAAAAAAAAGGGAAATTTAAAAATTTTATAATAATCAATGAGGTCTCTATTATATGTGCAATGCATTGTTGTGAAAAGTCAGGTGCAGAGTGTGTGTGTGTGTGTGTGTGTGTGTGTGTGTGTGTGTGTGTATGTGTATGTGCATGTGTTTGAGAAATAAGAAAAAAAAATACACTATCTCAAATTCTAGACGTTGCCTGATAAAGTAATGAATGCAACCATTTACAAACCGAAGAAACCGGTAGTTTCCTTTGCTGCTCAAAGAGAATGGATATTTCCATGTGAGAAAGAAGCGGCCCTTTGTTTCATGGGCTCCGGTTTGCACACTTATGCTTCGCTTTGATGCTGTTGACTGCTGTTATGGCTGGGCCTCGTGTTTTACCGAGTGACTACATTCACACAACACTCAATCTTCTTACCAACGTGTTCTTGAGAGTGCCGTCTTTCTGACTTGGGGGTTTCTTTGGCAGGGTAGGTGACACTCCCTATGTAGGAAGCTTCATTTTTACCACACCAGAGTCCGAGCTGAGACTTCATTCCAGCCAAACGCTGCATTGTCCTTTGCTGTGCGCCCACCTGACCTCCTCCTCCTCCCGTTTGCTGCTTATTTTCCTGTGGCATTGCTCAGCCAGAGGCAGCAGGGACAGAGGCTGAGCTCCGCTCTGTTACTGGCAGCATCCTGAATTCCCGTAATCTTTTAGGTACCCCAACTCCGGTAAGATTGATCTTGGCTTTAACACGGAAAAGAATTTCAAGCCGAGCTGGTATGAAGCAGAGGCAGAGTTTATTAGAAGAACTTTTAAGCAGGTTTTAAAGCAGGAGAGGTGCTCAGAAGAAAGTAACATAGAGGAGCACAGGCGTGGGCCTCTTACAGGGTCTCCCGTTGTCTTTACAAGGGACACACAGAGCGCCTAGGTGGGTTTTGAAACTATTATCTTCAGAGGGTTGAACAGGAGGTTCCTCTGGGAGGAGAGGTGTGGACAGGGTTACAATTAATAAGGTGAAACTGTAGATCATTGGATACCAGAAGGTAAGCGGACTCACTGTGTGGAGTTCATAGTCTTGTTTGAGATCCCCAGAAAATAGGGGGGTCATGAGGACTAGGGTCATATACCTTCAGGCCCCAAGTCTGATTTGTTATTTCAAGATAAAATTATTCATCCACCTATCGGTCTGTCTACCCTCCCACCCCACCCATCCATCTATCCACCCTCCCACCTGCCTATCCACCCATCGTCTATCCATCCACCCATTGTCTATCCATTCACTCATCATCTGTCCATTCACCCATCATCTATCCATCCATCTGTCATCTATCCATCCACCCATCATCTATCCATTCACTCATTATCTATCCATCCACCCATCATCTATCCATCCACCCATCATCTATCCATCCACTCATCCATCCGTCCGTCCATCTGTCCATCCATCCGTATGTCGGCAGCCTACACAACAATGGTTGGTTGTGCTGTAGTTCTTGCTTCTCATCTAGGGAGAGGCTTCAGTCAGCCTCTGGAGTAAAGAGGCTCCTTTCCTCTCCATGTTCTCATGGTTTTCCCCGTGTGTCCCACAGATCTTCTCTGCAGTCTGTTTTCTGTCTTTCCCAGGCACTTGTCATGCTGGGGTGCCCAGGCTTTCTTTGCCTTCCTCTCCAGAGGCCACATGGCTCTTACACTGTCTGTCCTTTCAGGCTGCCTCTGGGAGAAGTCCATGTGATAGATCAAAAAGCAAACTTCGTTTTTCCAAACCGCAGCTTCCTTTTTCTTGTGGACAGGCCCGAGTGCTGTTGTCTCTGAGCACACATGAATTCCTTCCACGTGACCCTGATGCTACCTTCCCAGCTCCCACACAGGAGTGGGCTAGTGTCCTTGTCCCTCTTGTCCCAGCTCTCCACACAGCAGGCACACAGTACATGTTATTTAGATCAATGAATGACCAGATGCATGGGCTTCTGTTCTTACATCTGGCCAGAAATCTGAGGCCATCCCTGGTTTTCTCCCTCTTCTTTGTGCCCTAACCATCTTAGTTCACTAAATCCCTCTGGAACATAAGCCACACGAGGACAAGATGTTTGTCTCTCTGACTCGGTGTGATGCACTTGCGTCCCTGCAAAGTGCTGGACAAGAGGGTAAGCATTTGCTACGGCAGAAATGTTTTTGTGCATTTGACCTGCAATAATTGGTTTCATAAGAAACAGAGACATTTGGTGCTTAGATCAGTGTTCCTTGTCAGAGTGCTGCTAAATGGTGGACCTGGGCATTCACTCCATGTCTCCTGAGTCCTCACACATAACTACTAAGTACTGTGCTGGAATACCCCTTAACACTTGCATGCATATTCTGTGCGCGGCACTCTACTAAAATGCTGTGCCTTCTCCATCCTGTTACAGAGACCTCATAGTCAGGTGGTTTGGGACTGTTTCAGCTCTAGCCTGTGATCTCACCTTTTGTCCCCAGACCTGTGTATAGCTTGCAGCTTTTGGAGCACACAACATTGAATGGAAATGTTTCCAGAGGGTCATCGCAAACATCTAACATAGCCGTGCGTCTCCCTCTTTGTAGACAACACTGGCAACCACGCGTTACACTCCCGAGCAGAGACTACTCCGTCATCACCCACCAACAACGCTGGGAATGGACACCCGGAATATATCGCGTATGTGCTTGTCCCTGTGTTCTTCATCATGGGTCTCCTTGGGGTCCTCATCTGCCACTTGCTTAAGAAGAAAGGCTATCGGTGTACGACAGAGGCTGAACAGGAAGTTGAAGAGGAAAAAATAGAGAAGATAGGTAAGTAACCTTTGCTTTTTTTTTTTTTAAATGGATCGAGGAACAGATACTAAATAAAAAACCTTCATTTATAATTCATTTTTTGAATGAGGAAACTGTGTTTTCTGCAGTAATCAGCATTTGAAACCTTGCCTACATTTACTGAATACTTGCTGAGTATTTACTTCAGAGCTTGGTAGCCTTGGGCCTGTTATTCTTGCTGTGCGTATTTATTTATAATTTTATTGACATTCGCTTTAATGAGGATAATCTCCACCTGGAAGGGTTATTGTGAAATTGGGAGACAAGGCGTGTTGGTGATTGGCACTTATAGCCTCTCGTAAACCTTAATCCTTGCTGCTACCGATTGAGTAAGATTCTAATAAGGATGGTAGGAACGTGAAGCGAGTCTCATCAGGTTTCTGGTGTTAATGTTACGGGGGGCATTCTGCTAAAAATCCGAGTGACTGGACTTTATTACGTGGAGTGGAGGTGTGGCCAGAACTGATGTTCCCACGTGAACGTCAGGACGGCTCACCTTTTCCCTCTGCATATGAGTTGATAGTGCTGGGATAAACCCCACAGATCCTGTTTTCCCCTCCTTTCCAATCCTGCCTTAGGGAGGTTTCCCCGATGGGCTAGCCGATCACTCTCTACATCCCGCTCCGCCCCTCTGTGGCATCTTTGCAGAGAGGTGATCTTTGGAGCAGGTCACCCGTGGAGCATACCCACAGGGCGCGTGGGGGGAAGGTTTCTCAGTCCTTGCCAGCCTGCCGGACTGTTGATTTTTTTCCACCCCCACTGACCTTTGAGGCTGAGGAACACGGGTGAACACGATGAGTCACGAGCAGCCAGTGAACAAACCAGCCCCGAGTGTTTGTCAGCAGAGTAGAACTGGTGTGGGTTGGCTCAGCCGGCAGCTTCCACTTGGTCTGTCCAAACAGCCCTGGGCCATGGGAGAGAAGCTCCCCTTGGGGTGCAGAGGACATTCGTGCAGGTACATGGGCGTACCATGCCCTACTGGTGCATCTTCCCAAGTGGGGTGCAGGTCTCCGTTCAGTCTCCTCTTCTCCTGCTAAATGAATTATGCAGATCGTTTCCAAGCGGAGGCTTGTTCCTCCTCCTGCCGACTGTCACATGCACTGCTGGTGCTGAGTTCTCCAAGTCAACTGAACTTGTAAACAAGTAACGAGTGCCCAAATTTAGGTATCTTGTTTAGAAGGAAAAGAGCCTTTATAAACATGGATGAATACTTACTAAGGCAGCTGAAAACATAGGTCTGTAGACGCATTTTAGACCGCAAGTCTGCAGCTAGATGAAACCCAAGGACAATGGTGTTTCTTTTAGTTAGCCTTCTTCTTGTGTCCCTGAGGGTTTAAGGTAATAAGGAGAAATAAGAGCAGCGGGGACAGATATAAATCATTCCTGTATTGTCATACAAAGTGAGTGGGTGTTTGGTCTTGAGGAGGGATTGATGGACAGCCCTGAGCCTTTTTCTTTTGATTTTTAAATGTGTTCTGCCAAGGAACTCAAAGCTGTGACATCGGGAAGGTGGGGGCTGAAGACCAAAGGCAGGATCTTAGCACCGTGTGAGGGTACTTGAACTTTCTGGAAGTTGTTCGGTGAGGTCTTGGGCTCCACGGTGAATGTCTCGAGCCCATTCGCTGCTCATGTCGCTGGTGACATTTACAACGCTGTCCTCTCTTCTTCTCTTTTAGAGTTGAATGACAGTGTAAATGAAAACAGTGACACCGTTGGGCAAATTGTCCACTACATCATGAAGAACGAAGGTAGGGATATGTTCCTGTTTCGGGGTGTGTCCGCCTCGTTAGAATCTAGAGTCAGAATTGGAACGGCTTCTCACTGCTTTATCTGAGCTCTGTAATACCTCAGCTTCCAGCGTAGTCCCGACAGACGTTTGCCTCTGTGGGTGTCTGGTGGCCTCAGTGTCCATCGCAGAGGGCCAGCCCTCAAGTTGATAGCTTCTGTCCAAACCATGCTTTACATGACTTTATAACGCCTCCGTTTCCTCCCAGAGAGTGAGAGCCACACTCCTGCTTGGTACACGGCACTGTGAAATAGCACACGTGGAATGCTGAAAGTCACAAGGATTCACATCTGACCTAGTTCTTGGTTTTTCCACACTTAAACATTGTAAAATCTGTAAAACGTAAAATTTACTGTTTTAAGGGACCGGGGAGATGGCTCAGTGGGTAAATGCTTGTTTCACAAACATGAGACGTGAACTTGACCCCCAGGACCCAGGTTAGAACTGGAGAGTGGCAGCGAGTTCCTGTAAGACAGGTGCTGGGCGGGTGGGTACAGCAGGGTCCTGGCGTGCACTGACCAGCCGGTTTAGCCAATTGGTGAGCTCCAGGTTCAGTGAGACAACCTGTCTCCAAATAAGAGGAGAGTGATTGAGGAAGACACCCTTGACTTTTGGCTACCATGTGTGCACATGTATACATACATTTTCCCAGACACCACACCTGCCTGTGGGGGCGGGGGGTGTATGTGCGCGTGTGCGCACGCATGCACGCACGCACGCATGCACACATTTTTACCAGTTTAACCATTTGGAGGTGGAGAATTCAGTAGCATCTGTGTCCATTCTAAGTGCTACACGAGTGTCATCACTCTTCCAGAACTTCCTCAATATCACTGAAGTATGCATGTTTCTCTCCCTGTCCCTTCCTCCCCAAACTGCTTGCAAATGCCGCTTTGCTTCCTGCCTCTGTGGTTTGTATCTTCTGGGAGAGCTTAAGCATTAGGACTTAAGCGGGTTTTTTTTTTCCATATATAATATATATATATATATATATTTTTTTTTTTTTTTTTTTTTGAGATAGGGTCTCATGTAGTCCAGGCTGGCTTTGAACTCAGTATAATAGCTAAGGATGGTCCTGAACCCAGGTCATCCTTCCTCTGGGAGGCTAAATGCTGGGATTATAGACACGTACCACTATGCTCAGACTTATGAAATGTATTTCAAGCCAACTTTGAAAGTGAAGAATTCAGTTGTTATTAAATAAGTTAGGGACATTGTTCTGAATGCTGGGGGTTATCTTAATAGGTTAAGATTTTCTGTTGCTATAAGTGAGTAGCACAAGCTTGATAGTTTATAAAGAACAGAAGTTTATTTAGCTCACTGTTCCAGAGACTAGCAAATCCACGAATGGGTCCAACATCTGCTTGGCATCTGGGGAGGGCCTTCATCGCTGCATTCTGACCTGGGGACCCGAAAAGACAGAGCAGTCATCTCAAAAAGAACATGCCTTTATGACAAGGCCACTCCCTCAGTAACCCATGAATCCAAGAATCCGTGAGCAGACCGGAATGTTCATTAGGGCAGAGCCCTCCTGGCCCAGTCACCCTGAGGCCCCACCTCCAAATGCCATCAGTGTGACTTTGGGGGATTGTGTTCCCAACACACGAGTGAATTTCAGGCCACACCCGAACTGGGGCAGCGTCTTTGCTCTGAGTAATTTTTAAGGTCTGTGGCACTCCTTGCCACTTCGCTGACATGCTACAGTGTGTGTTTCCATCAGCACATAACATCCTTCACCATCAGCCCATTTCTGGGACCCCCCACCCCAGTATTCAGGGAGAGTGCCCATCTGGTCCAGCCTAAGGTTTTCACCTGTTTTCCAGCCATGATTTATGTCTTTGGCTTAGGTCTGGTAGTTTGCTCTGGGTTCTCACCTAATTCTCAACACATCCATGTAAAGTTGGTGTGTACTCAGTTTACAGGTGAAGCAAGGGAGGCCCCAGGGTTTAGGTTCGAGTGGTCAGTGCCTTCTGTCCAGTTCCAGCTACAGGGCCCCTTTCAGCCTCCAGTGCTGTTTCTTGCTTCCAGTTTTGATTTAAAAAAAAATAATAATAATACTAAACTTAGACAACATAGGATTTGTCTTCTTGAGGCTTCCCATCAGGGCCTAGGATTTGCCAATACTGGATTCCCGCACACTAGTTTATAACCTAGTCTTTTTTCATGTTGACTCTGAGCTAAAATTCTCTGCTCTAAGGGACAAGCACATCGTTACCCCAACTTGGTTTCTGTCGTTAGCCCAACTTCAAACTTTATTCAATTTAAACTTGACTGTCACTTTCCAAAACTGACACTCTCTATATTTATAAATTGTAACCGCCAGGCGGTGGTGGCACACGCCTTTAATCCCAGCACTCGGGAGGCAGAGCCAGGCAGATCTCTGTGAGTTCCAGGCCAGCCTGAACAGCGTGAGTTCCAGGAAAGGCACAAAGCTGCACAGAGAAACCCTGTCTCGGAAAAAAAAAAAATTGTAACCATAACTCCAAACTTTTTTAAAGAAATTAAATGGGAATAACATGAAGCACACTTTCTCCATTAACGTTTTCCCATGTGTTTTTTTTTTACCCCTATATCACATAGTTTTAAACATTTGCAATATTGATATATGAGCAGCTTTCTGTCTTGAATTTTTTTAATTTGTCAGATGGGTACATTTAATCTACAGTCATGGTGTTTTTCAAATGAAGCAAAGCTGGGGTTCAATAAGATTTAATATAGATTTAAGCCCGAGAAAGGGTGTGAAAATGAGCCGAAGGTGTACACACTAAGAAGCCAGAGTTCCCCGGCAGTGACGGCGTTCTTGCTTAGGGTTTAAGCATGCGCCTTTAGTTTTAGAAATCAATTTTGGCTTAGGTCACTGTCTCTCGGGGGTTGGCTCTAGCAGCTGGCCTGCTGGGCAGGCACATTTTTATTGTTGTACTGTCACTGTGGCTCTACATAGTTCTTGAAGATTTATTTTGAAATTTTGAGACTGACTGCAGATACCTGGGAAGGCTAGAGATGTTAAATCTCCCAGGAGCTGGAGTTATAGGTGGCTGTGAGCTGATCGCTGTGGATGCTGGGAATCCAGCTTGAGTTCTTTGCAAGAGCGGAGTGAGCTCTTAACCACCGAGTCATTTCTCCACACCATACCATGCTTCCGACAAAGGGTGTGCGGAGTTTTCCCACCCCAGCAGCTCTTCACCTCTGAGTGCCAGCTCCTCGGCCCATTTAGTTCAGCTCTGACTCTGCCTGGGAGTGAGTGGTGTACCACAGGCTAAGCTTAGTTCCACAAGGCTGCCCGACTTTACACGCCAGTTCTGTTCCTCTAATTTACACGCTGAGAATCTGAGAATCCCTCCAGGCCCCTCCCCAGGCTTGCTGGGTCGCTAGAATGGCTCACAGAACTCAGGGATATACTGTTACATTTAGCAATCTGTTAAAAGGATAGAACACAGGACAAAGGATGGAAGGAGAGGCATGGGGCCAGGTATTGGGAGCCAGGGGCCGGGGCTGAGAACTACCGCCCTCTAATCACGGGGCCTTTTACCGACTGCGCCCTGACTCACCTCATTAACATACACTCAGGTATGATCCAGTAGCTCATTATGAATAACAAAGGACACTCCTCTTTGACTCAGGAAATCTCACTCAGGAAATTCTCAGGGTTTTAAGAGCTTTTTGACACACCCACACACACTGATCATTTTCTTCCTGATGCCAAGCATTAGAGTAACCCTAGTGCTGTCTCTTAAGTTATCTTGCCCTATAGAGCCGAACTGAGCAGTGTCTGTGTGGTCAGTGGGGTTTTCATGCATTGTGTAGAAGTTTGGAAAGCATTAAGTGTTATTTATTAAGCGGGTACAATGTTATTCATTAAGCAGCACTGTTTACCATGCGAGAAAAGCCACGAGGTACAACAAAACCCACTGTAAGAGTTTATTAGGGGAAGGGAACAGAAGGGGTGTGCATAGGCCCATGGGATGACCGAGCAGGAAGAGCAGGGAGGAATAAGTGGAACCCGCTCTTAGAGGTCCACCCCCACCCATGTGGTTACATAGCCAAGCCACGCATGCTTAGGCCACGCATGTTTTACTTAACAGGCTCTTGTTTTCTCAGGGAGCTTTAAATGATTCTCTTATGAATGCTTATCATTATAATTTTTATTACAGCCAGCACTGGCATCTTTCCCTTTTGTTATTTTTTTTTCTCTTTTGTTAAGTCTGGTAAATGATGGCAAAGTACAAACTGGCCACTTACTGTCCATTTTATACAAGCCGTATCCGAGACTATGTACCTGGCTATTTCATCTTGTTATTTCTAAGGAAGCATACAAAGCCAGCGTTGTTTAAAGGAAGAGTGGTTGCCGTAGATCAGTTTGGAAGATGGAAGTCCGAGATCAGGCAGCCTCATTGATTTGACTCTGGTGAGGGTCCGCTTGGCTGGGTCCTGTCTTAGTGGCCAGCGGCATGTTGGAAGTGTGGGTAAAAGGAAGAGAACACAGGTAACCAGAAAGCCAGAGAGAGGGCGAGAGAGAGAGAGAGAGAGAGAGAGAGAGAGAGAGAGAGAGAGAG